TTCCTGCTGCACCACGGTCTGGCCCGAGACAGGAACTGCTGAGCACGGAGCCCTCCCGACTGCGGGCCCCACAGAGTAGCAGAGATGCAGACGGCACCCTGCTGTCTCCTTGTGGAACTAAAGGGGTGTCTGAAGAGATGGAATAACACCAGTTAGGTGGAGGCGTGAGCACTGATGTTTCTAGAAAGCTCTATCATGATTCAGAGCCCAGGTACTGGCCACAGCAGACACTCGCCAGGTGCCTTGGGCCACCAGTGTTGGACAAGACCAGGGACCCGCTGCCCACCTGCAGCCAGGTAAACATGAACTCCGGGAGAGGTGGCGATGGAGCAGGCCCACGCTGCCCCTCAGAGCGGTCGGCCTTCCAGGAAGGTGGGGACGGTCTGGAATCTGCCCACTCCGCACAGGGGCAGGAGCTGAGAGCTGGACGGTGCAGGGAGAGAGGAAAGGGACGGAGTGCTAAGAAACCGAGGGGAAGAAAACTGAGAATTAGTCGAAGGCTTAATTAGAGCAGTTTCCACGAAACAAGACTCAGGAGGAGAGGTATAAAGTGAGAAGATAATGAGCACTGAGTGCTCAGGGACGACCCGGGCGTGCTACGCCTTCCAGACCAGAAGGCTGAGCTGACAGCGAGACGCCCAGGGCGGAGGGAGGGCTCTCGGCAGAGCCACAGGCGCTCTCGGCGTGAGCGAAAAGGCATGGTAGGACAGAGAAGGGGACACGAGAGAAAATAACATTCTGGAAACAGATGAAGGCAATTGCAAGAGACAGAAATAAACTAGTGGAACAAAAAATCTGCAAAGACTTAATAGAAGAAAAATCCCCCACACTGAAGACCCGAGCCGGAGACCAGAGCTGCAGGTGGAGCTACGCAAGGTGCCGGTGGAGAAAGACGGACAGGAACGCACCCTCGTGGCGCTGCTGCCATCCGGTGGAAGACACTCTTCAGACACCTGCGGGGAGTAAACCCTACGGAGAAGAGGCCGGTCCCACTCCTCTCAGTGCACCACTTTGGGCCAGAGGGTGGACACAGCCACAGACTAGGCCAGGAGAATAGAAGTTCACCAAACCAAGAAGTGGCGGCTTCTTAAAAGACACGTTCTGGCCCGGCCTGCACTTGAGTCCCTAATCCAGGAAAAACGTACTGGGTGGGTGTGTAGGAGTCCACGAGAGGAGAATGGAGGAGGGGAGTTCTCTTCCCCCTCCCTGTCTCTGTCTCTCTGGTGAGCGCATGTCCTGTATGGCAAAAACTGAGGAAAAAAAAAAAGGCAGCAGGCACATGTTCTGTGGCATGGTGGTTGGGCTGGCTCCCACATGACTGACTCGGCGCTTTGAGTCCCAGACCCTGCAGCATGAAAAGCATGCCGGCTGCGTGTGCCCACAACCCCAAGAAGAGGATGGAGAAGGGACTGTGGTGCGGCCATCTCCCGGGAGGGTGTTTCTCGCTTTCCCTCTGCCTGTCTGTCTGTCTCCAGAAACACATGTTCCCCATGGTCCCAGGAGGGTGTTTCTCACTTTCCCTCTGCCTCTGTCTGTCTGTCCCCAGAAAACACACATTCCCCATGGCAAAGGCAGGACAAGCACACACCCAAGACCTGCTCTGTGATAGCCCCGCCCAGCCAAGCATGACGGAGGCGTGGCATGAGCCCAGATCACCATCTCCTCAGGGCCTAGGTGTGCCCGGGGCCCTCCGCTGTAGGGGGAGAGACCGTGCCCCTCCGTGGAGTGTCCTGTGGGCCGAGGAGGAGGGCATGCAGCCGGAGCAGGGACAGAGGGAGACGGTGCTCTGGCCGCTGTGTCCGTGCTGCCAGTCAGAGCACCAGAAAGCATGGAGAGGTGCCAGGTGGGGGCTGAAGGTGACTTCTGGTTAAAGCCAGTCGGGCTGATCACCTACATGGAGGGCAGGAGATCTAAAATAAAATAGGAGAACAGGACGAAAGCCATCTCGGGGAGCTCTGGGAGCTCTGTGCTCTGGATGGAGCGGCCCGCGGGACTTGGCTGAAGGCTGCTGGGAGGCGGGCCATGGCGGACAGGCAGACGGGTGCGGTGAAGTGCCGAGTGTGTCTGGTCATCTCGCTCCACGCCCTGGCGCAGGGGGGCAAGCACACAGTTCACTCGTCACAGACCCTGAAACAGAATGAATGAAAGTGACCAGGGAACTGGAACCTGCAGGAAAGCCTGGGTGCAGGCGTGGGCAGGGCGTGGGCGGGGCGTGGGCGGGGCGTGGGCAGCCTCCTGGTCACGCACGGAGCAAGCCTGGGGGACACGAGACCAGGCGCACTCACACGTACACGCTGCGAACGCGGCCCGCCCTGTACGTCTTGCTAGGAGCAGCACTTCCCACAGCTGCACTTCTGTGTGTAAACAGAGCGAAAGCCCATCGCGCTCCGCAACCCGCGCACATGGGCAACTCCCCTCCTGTGCTCGCCCACACGCCCGCCTGCCCGGGCGCCCCTCGGGTGAAGGCCACCTCTTTGCAGGCCTGGTGGTGAGTCGTGGGTGGTGTTTTACTTTCTGGATGTTTCGGTTTTCAACACTCGAGCATCATTTCACGAGAATGTGGTCACTGAAACGCTGCCAAGGAGGCGCAGAACCAATTCTCATGTCACGTGGATGTCCTCTCGGCATCGGGTGGGTTCTGGTCCCACCCACATGAGACCCCTCGGGGCCTGGACAGAATGTGGGGTGTAGGCCACTCTGAGCGGAGACCTTGGGGTGGGAGTCTGATGTGTTCCCACAGGGCCCAACGACGGGTCCTGCTGCCCTCTGCAGCTGCTCGGCCATGGAGCACGACAGGCTGTCCTGGCCGCAATGCGGTCCTGGACACGGCCCAGGAGCACAGCCTAGGCGCCATGGCCACTGTGGCCACCTTGAGCTTCTGTTAGAGCTCACTGAGCAGCCCAGGACCTGACAAGCCGCCCTCACGCCCAGCCTGCTGTCCAGGACCCTCCAGCTCAGCTGGGTCCCAGGGACACGGGCAGAGCAGCTCGTCTGATTCCAGTCATACCCGGGACCGTGTGCCCAGGTGGCCGTCCCAGCCTGCGTGCACGTGTGCATATGTTTATGCTTGTGTGTGCATTTAGTGCCGGGGTGTGTTCGCACTGTGTGTGTGAGCATTTAACATCGGGGCATTTACGTGTGTTTACACTGTCTGTGTATTTAGTGTGCTCGCTCTCATGTGTGTTTATACATGTGTATATGTGTATTTAACCCTGGGGTGCATGTATGTGTACTCCTGTGTTTCCACTTGCGTGTGTTCATTTCACACTGGGATGTGTACACTAACATGTGTGTGTTTCTGTATATTTAACACTAGGTGTGTGCTTGCACCAATACATTTTACACTTGTGTGTGTGTGTGTTTACCACTAGGGTGCACGCTCGGCGCCTACACGTGTGTGTGTTTACCACTAGCTGCATGTACGCTGACGCTCACGTGTCTGTGCACTCAGCACCGGGGTCTGTGTTTGCACCTCTGTGCCTACACGTGTGTGTGTTTACCACTAGGGTGCATGTGTGCTGACGCTCACGTGTCTGTGCACTCAGCACCAGGGTCTGTGTTTGTACCTCGGCGCCTACACGTGTGTGTGTTTACCACTAGGTGCATGTACGCTGACGCTCACGTGTCTGTGCACTCAGCACTGGCATCTGTTTGCACGTGGGTGCTTACACGTGTGTAACACTAGGTGCACGTGTGTTTGCACCCCAGTGCGGGCTGTGCTTACACGTGCACCTGCCACGTCTCACACTGTGGACGTCACTGCACCTACAGAATGGGACCGCTCAGCACATGCCTGGGCTCGTCGGGTCCCAGCGGCTCCGGCTCAGTCCTGCACCGTCTGTCCTCAAGGAAGCTGACCCGCCTAAGTATGTGCTGGGACGGGACAGCCTCGAGGCTTGCAGTGTAGCCACTGTGCTCTGGAACGCGGCCCAGTGGTCGCGGCATCGGGCGTGGGCTAATTCCAGCTCGAATCTGCCCTCTGCCTGGAGACGAGCCAGGTCTGCGGCGCTGTCCACCCAGCAATGAAAGGACGGGCCCGCCCCACCTCTGCACAGTCCCGGGCCTGCCGGGGTGACAGCGTGGCAGGGGGCAGAGGAGGGGAAGCCTCTGGACCTCGGGGAGGCGCACCTCTGCTTCCACGCAGGCCCAGGGCTCCGGGGCTAGGATGTCAAGCAAAAGAGTTTCAAATCCCAGCACGATAGTGCAGCCATAAGGCTGAGGTGACCAGCGGACGGGCACTTTTGATGCAGTCTGTTTTAAGACACACGGAGAAAATGCCTTCATAAAACCCTCATAAATGGCGAAGGTCGAATCCCAGAATGAAGGGGCGTCCGTGGTGTCACCGGGAGGTGTCGCTCCAGCTGCTCCTCCCTGACACTTCAGCAGAAGGATGGCATTTTTTGAGCTTGTTTATTTAATGTATTTTAAATTAATAGTTTGTTAGGACTTTCATAAACTAAGCATCGCGCGGAAGTGGAAACGGGCTTCGTGGTGTCTAACCCGATGTTGGAGGGGCCGTGACTGTCTCCCCGTCCCCGACGCAGTCGGCACCGTGGTGCCGGGGCCCGTCTCCCTGACCCTCTCCCTCACCGTCAGCCAGGGGGCCAGGAGTGGAAGGGCCAAGTTCGGACGGCGGTCTGTCCCTCGAGGCAGCATGCTTTGGTCTTTCTGTCCTGGTGCTGGGTGTTGGCGGCCCTGTAAAGGCTGGCCTGGGCTGTGGGTGGGAGCGTATCCTCCCTCCCTCCCTCCCTCTCTCCCTCCCTCCCTCTCTCCCTCTCTCTCCTCCTTCTCTCCCTCTCTCCCTCTCTCCCTCTCTCTCTCCTCCTTCTCTCCCTCTCCCTCACTCTCTCCCCTCCCTCCCTCCCTCTCTCTCTGTACCCTCTCTCTCTCTCCCCTCCCTCCCTCTCTCTCTCCCTCCATCTCTCCCTCTCCCTCGCTGACCTACCGGCCTGTCCTCTCCGTCATGTTGTGACAAAGCCCTGGTGTCCGGTAGTGACGCTGCACTTTCCCGCCCCAACTCCTGAGCTGGGCCTGCCTCTGTTCCCGTAGATCAGCCAGGTGCGGGGTCCTGCTCAGCAGCTCCATCCCAGCCTGTACAGGCATGCAGGTCTGCTGATGCGTCCGTTAGGGGGACCCAGCCTCCTCTGTGCCATCTCCCCAAGTCTTCCTGTCCACAGCCATTCCCATGGCACGTGGTACAGCCCAGGGGCCACCTGAACAGAGATGGCACTGGCGTGGGGGGTAGTAGCCCTCGGGACCATCAAGGGCCACACCCGGGACACACAGGGCTGCAGGCACTTGTGCCCGGACCTGCCATGTGCCCTAAGGCTGGGGTGTGCCTGCGCAACTGACTGCTCCACCCCAGGAGGAAGATGCGGTCGGGACCCACTGCAGCGGGCAGTGCTCGGACTCCGCCCCAGCCTGGTCCTGCTGCACTGCTGGAGCCCCTGGAGCTCCGATCACCTGCCACCACAGGGCCCTGAGTGGGACACAGGACGCACACGTGAGCTGAGGGCAACTGCTGCCCCCCAGGTCACAGGGCGGACGCCCTGACACCGGAGTGGACAGAGCACCACCGTGAGAGCTCACGGCCGTCCATCCATCCTGCGCCCTCCAGCCGGGAAGCCTCAGCCCCTCCCTGCCCCATGCTCACCCATGCATCCCTACCTGGGGGTCAAGCCACCCAGCCAGGCCTCCTAGCGAGCTATGAGGGCACGGGCACTCCAGAGCCGCTGTGTGGACCCATGGGGCTTGTGTCTGGCTGTGAATCTGGAAGCCACGTGGAGCCTGGGCACAGGCCCTGGTATGACACTGGCTGGGGCTCAGACGAACAGGAAGTTCCCTTTGGGACACTGCAGTAAGAGCTTGCCCCCCCGCCCCCGGGCTCCTGACCTCTGGCCCCACGTGTGGCCCTGCCACGGGGATGAGACTCTGGCTGGGGCCTGGCACAGGTGTGTCATAGAGCAGTCGAGAAGCCGAGCCTGCAACAATGCCCAGAACTGTGACTCAGCAGCCAGGCCGAGCAGGGGCGGGGTCACCTCAGTGCGGGCACCCTCCAGCCTGCGCCCCCTGCCTGCGCCTGGCCAGTGCCGGCCTACCCGTGGGTGTGAGGCCTGAGCTTAGACAGTCAGTGCCTGGGGAGCTGGATGAGCTGGCCCACTAACCACTGGCCAGACCCTGCAAGACCTAGTGCTGGCGACTGTGGACTCGCAGGTGGCCCTCTGCGACCCTCCTGTGACTAGCTTCTAAGTGACAAAGTGTAGCCATGCGCGGAGGAGCGAAGGTGGGGCTGGCCTTTGGCCCTGCTCCCAGGGCTCTGAGAAACCCATCCTGAAATGCATGAGGTGGAAGCAGCCGGAAATTAGCTAAGCTGATGCAGACGCGGAGGGGAGGGTGGGGCTCAGCCCGCAGGCCCAGGCACCATGGCCGGATCGACCACAGGAGCTGACTCACCAGGCACAGCAGTGCCGGGCTTGGACATGCATGCAGTCATGGGGACCAGGCCTGCTGTGGGTGCACCCTCGGGCAGTGACCAGCATAGCACGGACCAGGAGCCCCCGTGTCCTCCCTGAGCCAGATCGGGATTCAGGACAGGCACCATGACCCAGGGGGGCGCTTGTGCAGAGTGAACAAGGTACTCAGTGGGCGAAAACCGAGAAACTGGGATCTGTGGGCTGGAGTGGACTGGGAGAGGCAGGGGGAGGAGGGGAGGGGCCTTGCCCATCCTGGGGCTGCATTCCACCTCCAGGTCTACACTCCTGGAGCTGGGAGGGGCTGGGGTGGGAGGGGCGCGGTCCCCAGGGTAACACAGAGTAATGGGGAGCGAGTCCACCCTGGTGGGCGGGGCCTGCAGCTTCCTGGGGCTCCTTCACCCCCTACATACCAGTCCCAGGACTGAGGCCAGCCCTCAGACATTCAGGGCGCTGAGGGAGGGCTTCCTGGCAGAAGGGACTGGCAGATTGCAGATCCCCTGCAGACTAGAGGCCAAGGCCCCGCCCTTTGTCCAGGGGCATCCTGTCCCCGGAGATGCAGGGGAGTACATGGGCCCCGTGTTCCCGAGGGATGCTGTATGCTAGGGAGCATGAGACGCCTACAGGCCACCGTGACCCGGCCCTGACTGGCCACGCAGTGTCAGAGACTCCAGTCCAGTGCTGCCCTGGGGACAGGACAGGGTCACCTGCGTGACCCACGGTGCCTGCGGGCCACGGTGACGAGGCGCGTAGAGAAGCCACATGGTCACCGCATGTCAGCTCACCCTGTGGTGACATACAGATCAGGAGTGGGACCTCACACTGTCTTCAACTCCCCATGCTTTACCACAGCACCTCCCCATGGGTCCTCACAGGTCCACGCTCTTGCCTGTCACGGTCACCTGCCACAGGGGGCTGGGTGACGCTGCGGGGGCATGCCCGGCTCCATGGGGACTTTCGGGCTGGCTGCACCCACATTTGATGCCATGGCCTGGTGCGTCACCCTGGCCACCTGATGGACCTGCGTCCACAGATGTCTCTGGAACCCACTGCAGGCACCCAGGGCCAGTTCAGGGTCTGCAGAGGGCCGATCTGACTGGGCCCCTCTCCACACCCTGCTGGGCGGACGGTCCTGCTCAGGCTGTACCCCCTGGTCTCGGCATCCTCACCTGAAGAGCAACCTCTGGCAGGTCCCTGACCATGGCCCTGTCCTCTGGCTGTCACCGCCAGCTCACCCAGGCCCCTGTGTGCAGTGGGCAGCTCTCTCCTGGGGTCTGCAAGTGTCCATGACGGCGTCCTGTAAGTGCGGCTGAGCACAGTCTTAGAGGAGTTGGGCCTCAGGAGGGCCAGCTGCCGGCCTGTGGCCTCAGGTGCCACCCGGAGGTCCGAGCCCCAGCCCTGGCAGGCTGCAGAAGAGCTGCCAGTCCCCATGGTCACTGCGAGGGCTGCCTGGGCCCATTTGGGGGCGCCCTGGGCTGAGTCTCCCGTGAGCACAGCCTCCACCCCACAGTGACCTCGGGTCCAAGGGCCCCATGAAGCAGCTGCCAAAACACCTCCCAGAAAGACAGCAGCCCCCGGGCACAGAGGCTGTGGTGGGTGCAGGTGTCAGGAGTCACGGCACCACCCCAGATGGACCCTGAGCTGCATTTAGTCCCCGGGCACTGAAACTCCCTATAGCCACAGGAAGGATCAAACTGAATGCCAATTCCCTAATTCGGAGTGTCACCCTGTCCCCTCTGGGGTCCACACACGGGGTCGTGGGCACACCCGAGGTTTGCCCTGGGGTCATGATTCGGCATGAGGTGGCTCTGGATGGAGCTACACGTGTACGCCACGCAGGACCAGCCTGATCCTGGGACATCAGCTCAACCCCCATCCAAGGGGTCTTGAAGGCTGAGTAGGAGTTTATGAAATGGATTTTTGGAACAGGCTTTCCAGGAAACAGGAAAGACCTATGCAATGTAAGAAAGCATTTAGATTCCTCCCTCCCCTCGAAGTTCTGATCGCTTCAGGTCATGAAATCAGCTAGCAGCTAGACGAGCAGGAAAAGGGGGTTTGTAGGGAACCAGCAGTTAGCCTAATGGCTGTGTCGCTGGACTCCCATGTAGTCGACCACGGTTCGTGTCCCGGACCCGGTGGCTTAAACTCACCCCGGGCGCGTGTGCATGCGTAGTCAAGATCCTAAGAGGAGAACGGAGGAGAAGGGACTGTGGCGTGGCCATCCCCCCTGGGGGGGTGATTTCTCGCTTTCTGTCTCTCTGTCTCTGTCTTTCTGGAGAGCGCACGTGCCCTATAGCAAAAACCTCTTCAAAAAAAAAAAAAAAAGGCTTGTTTGTGAAAAGCATGCGCATGCCAAAGTTCGGCAATGAGGCTCGAAGGAAGGCTGGGTGCCGGGGTCTCGCACTGCAGGGCACAGAGACTCGGCCCTCACCATGACCAGATGCAGGGCAGAGGCCAGCAGCCCGTCTGGGTCATGCCCCCTCCCAGTCCTCCCTCTGCTGCCTCCAGCCTGCTCGTGGCTGCTGCTCGCTTCACTGAGGAAGTAGGGTAGGTGTCTCCCACAGAGACCCTGCCTCCCTGACTTCTGTCTCCACCTTCTCTCTCTTTCTCTTTTCTCCTTCTTTCTTTCTTCCTTTCTTCTTTCTTTTTTTCTTTTTGCCATGAGATAGAGAGAGAGAGACGAGTACCCTTGGCAGGGTCTCAGCCCCTGTGGCCCCGCGCCGTGCTCCCAGCCTGCCAGGAACACAGGCGCACTGTGGGCATACCCAGAGAGCTCAGGCCGACCCAGGGTCTGAGCCCGGCACTCCCGCGGGCTCCAGCATCGCACACCGCACCTCTTGTGAGCCAAGGCAGTGTCTCTGGAGCTAACGCTGAAGCCAGCAGCTGGCATGGTGGTTACGGCGGCCAGAACCCATATGGCTGACTGCCAGACTAAAGTCCCAGACCCGGAGGCTTGAGAAACATGTTGGGCATGTGTGCATGTGTGCCCAAAATCCTGAGAGGAGAAACGGAGGAGAAGGGCTGGGCGTGGCTGTCCCCCACGAGAGGTGCTTTGTCACTTTCCCTCTCTCTCTCCATAGAGCGCATGTGCACTCTGGCAAAATTAAAACCCAAAGTCTGACCTATCTGCAGCTCTCTGAAGGCCCGTCGCCCTGAAATGTGCCACGGAGAGGGGTGCATTCTGGGTGGCACACGCTGACTCCCACAGCCACCAGGGCATCGAGGGGGCAGAGACTCCTGGGGCCATGGGACAGCGGGAGGTGTCGGGTGCAGGAAGGCCCTGGGGAGAGAAGGCGGGGCCTCGAGGAGGCAGCAGGTCCAGGCTGCATCTCCCGGCGTGGCTCGCAATGAGTTTTGCGGGCCAGGAGGAGACACCTGCGCACTTAGGCCATCGGCTTTGGAAAATTGACTTTAGAGGAAACAGCTCTGCTGCAACACCGAATTCATCCTCGCGCAGCTTTTCCCTGTGAGCTCTTCATTTGAAGCACCGCGTTGTGTAAATCCCAGCTGCCTGCTCCCTGCGGGCGGAGAGCCGAGGAGTTCGCCGCCGCGTCTTCTGAACAAACAGGCGAGGGAATTAACACCCGTGCGGTTCCCAAGCACATTAAGATGTGTCGGCCCTGCCGGACTCCTACCGTTTTGTTTAACATGGGGGAAGAGCCACGGCGTTTTGCTTTGCTTTGGAGCCAGAGCGGGAGGGACCAGCCTGCTCTCCACAGAAGCTGTGGAGGCCGGTGTCTGATGGCGCATCCTGCAGACGGCACGGAGGAGCTGCCTGTCCAGGCCTGGGGCTAATTAGCCCTGGCACTGGGGAGAGACGCCTCCGGACGATGACTGCAGGCCTGTGGAGGGTCAGACGCCACCTCCAAAGTGGTTCCTCCTGGAAGGTTTCAGAGACAGCCCCGTCTCCCAGCAGGGCACGGCCCGGTGACTCTGGGGTCTGGAGGGGCCTGGCAGGACAGAGTGGGGGAGATTGTCAGTGGACTTCACCTGGAAACTGGACTCTGTTCCGAACGAAGCCTGCAGAGGGGCGTCACACAGCGCCGAGGGGACACCGTCCACGCACAGTGCGCTGGATCTCATGAACACACGGGAGGCCAGGCTAGGGCCGACTGGAGACGGACGTGCTTCTTGTCTTAGAGTAGTGGCTCCGGGCCGTGTCTGGGGTGCACTTCCCCGAAACGCGCTCACTGCTCACCTGAATGCAACGCCAGGCGTTCCCGGCCCCAGCCGCAACCTCCCCCACTACAGCTGAGCTACGAAGACGCAGAGGGAGGGAGGCTCTGGGTGACAGCCCTGTTCTGTGCCCTGGTTCTGGGCGTTGCCGGCAGGTGGTGCAGGCAGGTGCATGGCCCCATCCAGGGTGGCTGTGGGGCATGAGAGGCAGACAGTGGGAGAGGAGGCGAGCAGGGCACACGTCGCAGTGTGGGTGGGAGACGCGGCCGGGCACCGGGAGTGTCCTGAGAAGCCAGGCAGGCTGTGAGGTCGTCCAGCCGATGGGGAGCAGCTGGGGCGGGAACCAGCTCCCCAGGTTTTCCTTCCCCTTCCTCTCGTTCTTCAGACTCACGTGGCTTTTGGTATCTAAGAGCACTCAGAAAACCGCCAGGAGGGCTGAGGGGTGCCCTCAGGCCAAGTCTGAGCTTCCTGTCAGAAGCCTCAGCACCTGACTCCGAGTAACTCCAAATCAGCCTCTCTCAGCAGACTGTTCGGTGACCTCCATGATGTGGCCTCTTAGTGACTGCACCTGGCTTCTCCAACACCCGTTCTTCTCTTCCTCTGTAGGAGGCCCATGATTTCATGTAGGATGGCTATACACACATCTACAAGACACTGGCTGGCATGGCCAAGCGACTAGGTTCTGGCAAAGATGTCAGCAGAAGTTTAGTTTGAGAAGAGTTCACTTTCTTCCAGGATAGCAGATGTGATGGTTGGAGCATAAGCAGCTATGTTGAACCATAGGGCAAATATGGTAAGGATCCAAGAGCAGCAAGATAGAAGGGGCCTGGGCCGCTGGTGACCTCATATCCGCATAGTCCGTCCTGGACCACCTCTCATTTCCACATGATGGAGGTAATCCCCGCACACGTGGACCATGTTTCTTCTTGTTTTCTTCTTGCCTGGTACATGTAGCCAGCCTCTTTCTACCTTCTCAGTCTTACCTCGACTACTTCTTGCTGGTGTCTCCTTGGAAGGTCCTGCCCACCTCTCCCAGCCCAGACCCCTCCCATCCTTTCTCCACCTCCCCAGGTGTGGCTCAGCTCTCCCTCCCCACAGATTCTCCCAGCAGACTCCAAAGCACTTACCCCTGAGGCTTGTCAGGGGCTGTCTGTAAGCCAGGTGACCATTCTGTCCGCACGCCTGCTGCGTACTGAGGAGCCCGGGCTGTGCCTCCTGGCCTGCTCCTCTCCCTCTCGGTCACCCAGAAGACACGGGGTTTCCTGGACTCTCACACCCTCAGCCGTGAAGACAGAAAAGGAAAAACAAAACCAGAAGACGTTTGGCCCCCGGCGAGGCTGGCTATAGTAAATGAGCTGGACATGTCACCTTCTTGTACGCTCGGAGTCGAATCGAATTGCTGTCGTGTTTCCTTTACATGTTTGTCTGGGTTTGCTGATGAACTGCCCTCGGGGATCTCTTACCCAGAAGGTTTCTAACTGCAGCTGACATTTTGTAAGGGCCGACAGTCAGTATTTGAGGGTGCCCGTGCCCAGGCTGGGCAGGTGAAACGCGTCGCTGCTCACCGTTCTGGAGTGCTGGAAGTCCAAGATCGCACACCTCCATCTAGGTCTTCTCTTCCTAATTCACCTGGCTCTTAGCACATTGATTTGTGGGATTTATTGGATACATTTCATTTACTTATTTTCTAAGGTTTTTGCCATAGGGCGTGTGCATTCGCTAGAGAGGGAAAGTGAGGAATCACCCCCAGGGGGATGGCCATGCCACAATCCCTTCTCCTCCATTCTCCTCTCAGGATTTTGGGCACACATACACCCCCAGTGTGATTTTTAAGCCTTTGGGTCTGGAAGTTGTATCATGGTTGGCCATACGGGAGTCCAGCACCTTACCCACTGATTTTCCAATCTTGAACCTGCTTGCAGTGAAGGAGAAATCATGGCAAATCACAAAATAATCCCCAGCAGGCACTCGAGTCCGACCGGCGTCCTAGTGAGGCCATCGGCCACGCGAAGTGCAGACAGGGTGGTGTCGAGGGGCCCGCCTCTGTGCTGCCGCCGGGGGACAAGCGCACAGCAA